AATAGTAGTAATAGTAGTTATAATTTTACCCATTCCTCCATGCCCTACTAAGCAAAGGTACGAGTAAGTAAACTACTGCGGCTCGAAACAAAGGCCTCAGCTCCCACAGCCGAAACATGCTGGAAACCGTATATCACCTCCACACCGTTCCTAGGTCCATGCTCCAAGCCTGTGTGTAGAGTAGAAGTTTGTGCTCCATGCTTACATAATTACATCTACACATATTCATGCATATTACGCACACACAGACATGTGTAATCAAATGACATATGCACGGAGAGAGAGGCACATAAAGACGCCCATGTGCATGCATCCGCAAACATACCGCATTCGCCGTTGATGCCCTCTGTCCCATGTGCGGGCATTTCCTTAAACACACTCGTTAGTATAGCCCAAGCTCCCCACACAGCAATCCGCAAATCCTGGAAAAAAACTCTGGGCGGTCAAGTCGCACCCTGTGGGAGTTTGCTGTCGCGCTGTGCATCCTGTGCAGGCTTCGAGGCAGCCGAGTGGTTTGGCTGCCAAGAAGGAAGGTGTACTTCGCGCACGGTGCTAGGCGTATGTCACGTGGCTGATACTGCCTTCTGCAAGTCAGGCCCGTCACTTATAACAATTCGTTCTGCTACATCAGGTCCTCAACACAACAGTTAAAGCACGGAGTTAATGTCCCTCATGTGTGCGTGTACCAACGGGTGTTCAATGTGTGTTTGTTTGCTTGTTTGTGTCTGTGTGTGTGTGTGTGCGCGTGTTGATGCTTTTAAGCAGGAGTGAGGTGCAGCAGGGTCGAAATCTTCACTGTCCTTCAGAATTGCCCAAAGCTCTGCCACGGCTTGTGCCACTTGTGGATGTACGACGAAGCACGCCCCGATGAAGGCAAGCCTCAGTGCATCTTGTCCGAATGTTGCATGAAGATCTGCATACCGCTGCGAGAACTGGTGATGCCATTGGCTGGCCCTGCTCAGGCCGTTGCCGTTCCGCTTGCAATAACCATTAGTTATAAATATCTTAGACTAGGCTGTTTCAGTCTTGGGGCCCTGGAGGTTGTGGACGTGTTAGACCTGCTTGCAACAAAGCCGCAGCACCTCCGAAGATTCGGCATCAAGCCAAAGAAGCTGAGTGTATGCCTCCACCAGGGTTCCAGCCTGGTGTCTTCACAGCGGCACGCGGCACCGTGGTGAAAAACTGGGTACAAAGCACTCTGCGAATCGCCCGGAAATCTAAACATCACCGACAGTAGTTTAACCTTTCTGTGGGCACACGTCAACATGTGTTCGTCACAGTGGCTAGTTCGGCCCAGCGTTGAAGTAGCCGCCCTTCAGCCATGTCGAGCGAGACCTCTGGCAGCAACGGCAAGACCACGTAGAAACGTCTCGTCTGCAGACATGAAAACTAAGCTTTGCACCTGTTGCTGCGCAGCGCTCTGTAGTGTAGGCAGGAGAGCCTTCATCCTGGGAGAAGCTTCGGCCCTGTGGCCCAGGCCGTGTCTTGCATTTTGCAGTGCCCACATATGCTGTACAGGCTCGCTCGAGTGACTGCGCCGAGGAGGCCTGACGGCAAAGTGCAAAATTATACATCCTTAGCATTCCTTAACCACCGCAAGAGCGAGCGAGAGAGATAGAGCGAGAGAGAGAGGGAGAGAGACAGAGAGAGGGGAGAGTAGGAACCACAGTCTGGCCAAATGATTCGGCAGGCGGCTAGTCTAGCAGAGGCAAAGATACTTTAGCTATGTGCCTTCCAGTGCTGGCACGGGCTTCTGCACCTCGGATCGGCGGCACAGAACCAATGGGACACATGCTGCCCTCCAAGCAGGGACACTTCAAGATTGCTGCCCAGCTTCTGGCTCGTATATGATGAAAGCACCTGGTGTCCTGCGAAGGACTTCCACTACCTAAGCATCCCATGCTTGGCGCTCACGTGGTTCGGTCACCATGAGTACAACCAATCTGCCAAGTCAAGGTACGGCATCCAGCACGACTTCAAAGTTGCCCGCAGGACCACCTGTGTCAGCAAGAGAAAGGGAGACATCCGAGAGACAACACGAGGCTTACATCTCTGAAGTACCAGTACATAATACGACCGTGATCTGTCCCATTTAGACTGTGAAGCAAGAAGTTTGTTTCTATTCTTCTCAACCGAGGCTCTCAAAAGGCCGGTGAGGTACTGGGCGAAGCCACCGTGCTCCAGCAGCTGCAGCCCCATCACCTCCGCTCGACATCACACGGAAGTGAAGCCTTGCCAAGCCAGCAAAGCTCCGCTTTCCTGCCTTGGACCACTGTGTCAACGTCTGCAAGGCCAGCCTTACGGCTCAAGTGCACAACCCGAGTCCGGCCCGAGCTTAGGATTGAGCTCTTCAGAGATGTGCCCAAACTAAGGCAAATAGCGAAAAGTCTGGATCACCAAGCGTCCCTGTCGGAGCCTCGCCAAGGTTGCACAACGGTTCGACTCCGACGAGGGCAGCCGCTGCCTCGTCCGATGTTGGCTGATATCTCACTGCCATGTCGAGCATCCCCTGGGCGTGGTGTAGCAGAGCCAGTGTCCGTGCCTCGGAGGCACGATCTCAAACTCATTGTCTCAGCCACTTCTCAACAAAAATCCCGACCGAGTTGCATCGGCCTTCAGATACTTGTGCACAACCTCGCAACCGGCGGACACGAGGCAAGGGCACTTGAGCCGCCGGACCCTTTTGGGCCTCTGAGAGCTGCTCGGGAATGATGACCTCAATGGCACTCCTGTGCCCATGCTATACGATGCTACAAGTAGGGCATAGTAGGGCCCGAGCCAGGGTGCCCCAAGCGATCTTCGGCTGCCGCTCGGCCAAAGCGAGAAGATCCGCCACCCCAGTCTTCCTTCGAGCTGTCAGAGATCGATGCGTTTAGGCTTTCGGTTCTGATTTCGGTTTCGCATGGTCAGGTCGCCGCTCTGCCTCGCTCTTTGGCGCGGAGACTCATAAGGTTGAGGCAAGGATCCAAGTTGTGCTGCAAAGAGCAACAACAACTGCGGCCAGAGCCACAACCTTCCAAAGCCGATTTGCATTCATTGCAGGATCAAGAAGACATCACAGCCACCAGGCATTGCCTGTGGGGTGCCGGTGATGCTCATACACAACGGGCAGAGTGTGGCTGTAGACTGTATGCCAAGTACGACATGCAACGCGGAGCTGAACCAAAACATGCCTCCTTCTATCTCATTCTTGACGCATTGATGAGAAAATTGCAACAACAGCATCAAAGCGTGTCATATCTGAATGTTTTGCAGGCCGCGAGTTGCTGCTTCGAGGGCTTCGTAGTATCCGTCTCCAGGTGCTTCAGCAGCTCAGGCACCCAATCCTGCTCAAAAAAGAGGAGGGACTTCAGTGTGTTTTTCCAATGCACATGACATGAACCTCTGCGTCTGCGTCATCTCCACAGCTCAGTCGGGAACCTGGCACAGTTTCCACGGTCCTTGAGGTCGCCTGCTGCAGGCTCCGGGTAGCCCTGTGCGGCCCGCTGCACGCGTCCTCTTGTGAAGCATTATGGATCGCAGAGATAGACATCGGGTCCTCCATCAACCCGCTGTGCCACCAACAACGGCATGAGATGGACATACTGACAGCCCGTAAGCCCACTTGGATGGCAACAAAAACAAACCCGTGCAAAACTGCCTGCAAGGACCTGCACGGACTAAATTCAGCGCAGGCTCGGCACAGAGTTTGAGCGCCAAAGAACTGCCTAGGATGCAGCAACAGATGGGCTTGCAGCCATACAGGTGCTTTGATGACTCCCCGTCTCTGTTGCAGAAGCACCTACTGACAGGGTTCACATGTCACATGTCTTCACTGTAATCTCCATAATGCAGGCCAAGGTGCACATTTGGGTCAGCGTCGCTCAGCAGCCTAAGTGAGGAATCATGCATCTGAGCAAGAATCCTGCGAGTGGCGCAGTTCGTACCGACATTGCCCAGGCATCCACACCGACTTGTCGGGTATCATGGGGAAGGTTTCACCTTTTTGGCCATTTAGGGATTATATACTCTACTAGTAGGCACAGGCCACTTGGAAGACTTCTGCCGGGCAGCTCGCGGCTCACGGCCCAAGCTGCATCTTGCTCCGCAAAGCCGCGCAGTGCGGCATCGGCGCTCTGCCGTGCAGCCTTCGGCGCACGAGGCTTGCGAACCCATCCCAACCCCAACTGACAGCAGGGAGTGGAACACAAAATTGCTGCTATCCTCCCAGTCCTGCATGGGAAGCATCATGCCATGACTTTGGAGTCGCTTCAAACTGCTTGTGGTACGTTGTCTGTCTGTGTGGAGCAGCCGATCATCCGAACTCCTGGTGACCGGCTGTTTGGCTGTGATGCCCTTGTGCTCCAAACATCCGTGTATCAAATAAACAGCAAAATGCCACCGTCGCATCTCGTGCGAACCAGGATGCAGCATCATGGGAATGATGGAGCTCAAGGATCTTTGCACGGACCGCTGCGGACATGACATCTGGCCGACTCGCTGTCTGCACATTGACTGTGGAAGCTGCTAGCATCTGGCATACGGGTTGTCATATTTTCATACCGAATTTTAAATTCGGGGTCTGTTGGCTGATCCGGCACCCGGGAGACAGCCACCGATGGTGCCAACTGTAACTGCGGTGGGTGGGCCCAACGTTACCGGGCACATCAGGATTATGAGCTAGGCAGCTAAATAACAGTCTACGGTATCGGAGTGCCAGGAAGATCCTGTTTGTATCATGAAGCTAGCCAGCAGATCAACTGAGGTAACTCGGAGCTTGAACCGCTGCGATTGACACGGGCAGAGTGGTGGTGGTCAGTTTCGCTTCCAGGTCGCGAACAACTCAGCAGTCTGCCTCTAGCCGAGGTGTTATGCGCACAGCAGGCAAAACACAAACCCTGCAGATGGGGGCCCAGGCACACACAAAAACACACATAAACACACGGCGTTCACCATTTGGATCGCTTTCGAGGCCAACTATAGACTCAAATAAAACTTAAGATGCAGGAACAGTGCAGGTCCTCGCAAGGCTCCTTCTCGAAGTAGGTGACCCATGCGATGGAATCAGGGTTGCCAGAGCCTTGGTTGCCTTGGATGGTGGTGAGTCAGATCGCCACGCCCCCACGCCCGATGGGCTGATCTGCCGATGCCACGATTCGCTCAGCTCGCTGAGCTTGGCACCCTTCCCTTTTCCTGACTGTGCAAACGCCAAGAAATCACATCAACACTCTGGAAATCCACGATTGAAGTGAGTGAAACTCTAAGACTCCAAGCAAATCGACGCGCAGTGTTACTTCCAAACATGCCGGGAGCCACGATCTTCTGCTCTCAAGATTCGAATGTCTCGGCAGCAACAGGAATGCGTCCGGTTAGCGCAGGCTCCACGTTAGTGACATCTGCCGGCGTGTGGTCTGCATCTCAACAACGCTGCGAAGCAGATTTTCCAACTGTGTTTTTCCTATTTTGGTAGTGGCACGTGGGACATGCACTCTCGGATCAAGCTGCCTCTGCATGCCTGGACGGGTCTCCGTCTGATTTCCCGAGAGCCGAACTCTTCACATCGCCGTAGCTTTGAAAGACATACTTCAGCTCCTTGTACTGTTGTACGAGAATGTGGCTGTCACGGGGAGGGTTTCCGTGCGTTGTCCCCGGAAGCACATCACAACCAGCGATGATAAGATTTGCGCTCTGGACACGGCTTGGGATTGCAGCGCTTCAATACCGGCGACCCGCCAAATATCGAGGAGAATGCTGCTGGTTCTACTTAGATTCCTCCCATTACACATCCACGAGTAATGGAAGCAAGTGGTACCGCAGCCAGTCCTCCTCGGAGATGTCAGCGGGGAGGCCTTTGAGACCAATAAACTCATCAAGGCGTTTCAAGTCTGGGGCCGGGATCAGAGAGCATCAAGTGCTGCAGGCATCCAATTCTGCCGAGACGCTGCCAACAAAAACTTGGTAGCCCGCACCATCAGACATGGCACGGCCTGACTTCGACACAGCGGAAACTCAGAACGAAGTCAACGAAAGTCTGAAGGCTTCCTCTCAAAGAGCGATCTTGCCCAGCCCTGCCTCGTTCACCGGGTGGGCTCTGCACAGGAGCCAAACATCTCCGCAGGGAGAACAGACGCACACGTTCCCACTCCAAGTTCATGTGCTCGAAGAAAGCAAACGGCCCTGGCCCTGACTCACTGATTCGACCTAAAGCTGCAACGAGCCCATCTGAGGTACAGCTCGTGCCCCTCCCATAGCTATCCCTTTTTCTGTCACGAAATGCCCATTGTCGAATCGTCATGGTCATGATGTACATCATACTTGATAGTTACTGATAATTCATTCTCTTTTATTCTAGACTCTGAGCTCTATTTTGGCTGGACGAACCAAGGAGCAAGGCATGGCGTGATTGCAGGTGAGGGTTTCATCAAGCCAGCATCCCAATGAAGGCTTGGCTGGCTGACGAACCGAATGTGTGCACTTGGCGGCCGAATTGGAAAGCGTGCCCAGCTGTTCCGTGCAAGCTTGGGCAGAAAATTTGAGCTGCCGCAGCCTGCTCGAAAGCATAAAGGATCAGCACAACCTGGTACTATCAGCGCGACCTCCTGCGACGTCGCTACTGAAAAAAATGGAAGACCTACTGTACCAAGCTTTCTGGGTTGCCTGCGGCTTCTCAGGAAAGTGCTGCTCACAGGCGCTGTGAACTGCGGAAAACGAAAACGAAGCCAACATTTTGTTGGCCTCTCTACGCGGCCGTCCAGCATCTCTGGCCACTCTGGACCGAAAGCAGGTCACTGTGCAAGCCGTCTGCACGGCACGTTTAAAACCTAGCGAAGTTTGCTGAGCAACTGCTGCACCTGCTCCACCTTGCTAATCAACGCCGATCACCTTGTTCCCACCAAAGATCGCTTTCTGAAATGACTCTGACTCGACAGTGTGTTGGAAGCCCCAATTTTCTATCGGCGACGGCTCGTGAAGCTGTCACGGTATGCTTAGAGTGGGAATGACGGTGCGCGTCGTCCACCTGGCAATAGATCGAAGGCAATGTCAGCACATGGACTATGGACTGCTAAACCGGCGCGCGGAAGAAAAATCCCGAAACCTTTGAAACTCCTGGCAGTAACACATGCCGAGGAAGCAGCTGCGCAAGAAGTTGCCCTTGAGGGGTCCAGCTTTGACCTGTCACATCACACTGCTCCGTGAATGCAGATTTCAGCTCCGGTCGGTGAGACTCTGCAGCCTAAGCCGCACTTCTGCTGATATTGCTTTGTCAATTATCCCGGGATGCTGCTCTGCTTCTACAGGCATTGATTTGGGATCATCAGCCACCCATGGCTAGTTCAGACCCTCGCGCATACCTTGGCTCTTTTACATTCTTGGATCCAGGCGGGTTAGACCAACAGTGGCGCAAGCCAGACTCGAAAAAGACAGTTGTCCCGTCTCAAGATGTCGTCGTGGAAACTATGTTCGATTCCAGTAGATCTGGCATCCATTCGGTGCAATCCCTCCTCAAGTCTCTGTTCAGAGTTTTCTTATTATATTATCGTGAATGCTCCGGCCAAAAAGCTTTGGCGTTCTCATTACGCGAGACTGCCAAGCAAGCAGCGCAAGGCTGAAGGAGCTATGTCGGCTATACAGCTGTAGACGTATCATCCCAGACCATCAACGAAAACCAGCTTGCGTAGGAAATTTGCTCGTCTAAGCCTTGCAAACATCCTCCAAATCATGACGGGCAAGCATGAGGTCGTGCACTGCAGGCTAAGAACAGCCGCACTCGCTCGGAAACATGGGTATAGCTTAATAGCCTGTATAGCATCCCGTTATGACGCAGTCTGGCCGTCCAACTGCCAATATGGTTCGGGCAGTGACGATGCCCCTCATTTTTGAACCTTCCAAACAGGTAACGAACCAGACCAGTCACTGCAGTTTACGCTACGCCTTGTTCTGAAAACTGTTTATGAAGTCTGGCATGTGCTTCTTGTCGGAGCTCCAGGATACGAAGATCGCTGGCGGATGTACGCAGAACCGACAAGACCGGTAAGCAATTTTCCAGAAGATCCGGAACACTGCTTACGCTGGTCCCGCTTCTTCCAACCGGGTGTGTCAGAGTGTTCCGCCGACGGCATTGCTGCGGGAGGCTGCCGTATCCCCGGATTAGGCGCATTGCAAAATCATTCTCCCGTCATCTTCCATTCGGGTCCCTGTTCCGTCTTCCGTGCCCAAACTTCCTCTGGATCTGTTGACATTAGTCGTGCACAGCTACAGACCTAAGGACCTGCAGCCTTGGTGACTCCGTGGTGCCATGTAGTGACGACAAAAATGACACGAAGTCATCATTAAAATCGCCCCCGTGTCAATGGAGAATTCCCCTCGGTACTTGCCTCTCGCGGCTGGGGATCCAAATTCATCACCTGTGAGCAGAAGCAGGCTGGTGTATCGGCAGCAGGCCCACAGGCTATCCAGTGAGACAGGCTTCGAAGCCATGCAGTTTCCGCATGGCCATAAGGTTTGAGTGTGTAGAAAGGCGTATATATAAATGTATGTATGTGCGTACGACTTAAGTACCCACGTCCATTTCCTACATGTGTGTTTGTACCGACGCATGTCTGCATGCATGTGCAGGCATGAATGTGTGCATACATACCGGCACGTGCATCCACAGCTGGAGGGTTCGTAAGGACAGCAAAGCTCGTTGCGTCAATGAGGTCAGTGTAGCGCATTTCTTGCAGCCCATGGATACCCAGAAGCTCAGCTTCCAAAGAAGCGACGAGCGAAGAGGCTACGTGCCAACACCTCAGCATGCGGAACTCTACCGGGCATGTTCGGAGCCCGCCTGTTCCAACGTCTGGCGCCTGACACTTCAGAGCTACTTCAAAGTGAGTGAAAACCGAGTGGCCCGTCGTCTGCATCTGCAGATTTTGGCAGTATGCGGCGTGGCAAACGCTGCATGTCAGAGGGTCTTTCCCCACGGAAACAGAAACAAGTGCCCGACCTCACGAAGTCACGATTGGGGTCCTTGACCCTGTTTTCCAACCTGGGTGCAACTATCCCGGAGCGTAAATGACGGCCCGTGCCGTGACGTCACTTCAGCGCTCGCTTCCATCTCTTGGCTCTTCTCCTCGCCTCTGCTTCTTCCCGAACTGAGCTGGAAACAGCCACGCGATCTCCCGCTCCACATCGCCTCAGCTGCGCGCTACTCAGTGCCACCACAAGTTGACAGCTTCAGGCAATATCTTCCTAAACCGTTGGCAGACCCTGCCACGAAACGCAAGCCTGCAGTGAACATGTGACATGCATGGCCGAACGGGTTGAACTACGTACCACTTCTGGCGAGGCACCTTTCAATTTGGCGTAGATCTCCTCGCATGCATCCTCGCCAACCGCTGATCGCAACTTCTCGGAGTTTTGCGTGCGGACTAGGGCAACCAGCCTTGTCTTTCGGGTCAACCTCTGCTAGGTCGACCGGCTTGCCGAAGCTGAAATAAAAGCCTGGCAGCATGCAAAGCTTCAAGTGGAAGCCGCATGTACTGGTGCTCAGCAAGACATTGTGTGACGCTAGCACTGATTTCTTATTCAAGCAGGGGTGAAATCAAGTTGAGAAATCGACCGGTCGAGCTGGCGTTAAATTCAACTATTGCAGTTGCTGCTACACATAACAATGATCTGATTGTCAAGTTTTGTGGAACTGGGCCGCCGGCGGTCTCCAAAGCCAGATGAAGTTTGGGACGCCTTGCAGGAGCCACGACGGTGGAGCTGCATGTTATTAGCAGCATCTTGGCTTACTTGGCAACACACAAACAGATTTCGTGCACAGTGATTTTGAGGCTGCCACTGGTGGCAAACGTGGGACTGGAGCAGAGAAGCTCGGTGGCTCCGCAAGTGCTTCGGATACGGATGACATGCCACCACCTGCAGGCACACAATTACGTGTAACTGACACGGCATTGCACGAACCATGCCAAGCCTCCTGACAACAGCTTCTTCCAGCCCTCGCGGTCTTTCTCGGACATCTGCGGCGAGTGTGTAGTTTTCTTACAAGTCTGGCTATTGTGCGGTTGCTTCTACAAATGTTTTGGTACTACAGCTGTCGGGGATGTTCCTCGAAACCTCAAGTCCTGCGTGCGGTCACGGCAGCTCCGAAGGCCAGCAACCCGTGGTTCATACGGCACCGGATACGAAACTGAGACAATTTCATATTTCAATAATCCAGTCTTCACAGAATTCGAAGACACAGATATGATATGGACATAACCAACGCAACCTCCATGTTCCTTGATGAATGCGACAAGGTTTTGCTCTCTGCTTTTTTATCATCACACTTTGTAATACAGGTTCTCTTCCTTCTCTGCTGATGCAATCCTTCGCTCAAGCAGTGCTGAGCCTCGCTGCGTTCACTCACCCGCACCTGAGTCTCCAGTCTGTGCCAGTCTGTGGCCATGACATCGTTGCATAGAAATGGTGTCAAAACCGAGTGCAGGCGGGCTTCATCCCGAAGATTCGTGGGATGCAGGACTCCAAAGTCTGTAGAATCAAAGTGCCGAGGCGCGTTGTCCGCACTGCCCACTCCTCCGAAGGGTACGATGACCGCATTGAACCTAGCTGCAGCACGCCTTAGCCGTACATCAACTTCAGGCAGTGTTTGATTCAGAATAATGCGAGGCGAGTGGGAGACGGGCACAAAGAAGACGTCGGTGTGTGCTAGCGTGCACTCGAATTTCTTTGCAGAAAAAGTGCTGCGACATCCGAATGCATGAGTGGTGTCCCTGACTGGCTGCATATCAACATCTCTCTGCGAAATCTCATGCCCGTCGAACAACCCAAACATGAGCTTGCTTGGCACATTTATCTGTTCGCATTGCAAGCGACGATCTCCGCTAGTCAGTGAACCGAGGGTGCAGCACGAAGTCAGTCTGGGAGGGCCAGAACAGCTGGTACCTCGCCAAGCAAACACACTGCACGTTATTCGAAGAAGTTTCGAATAGTTCCCCCGGTAGAACACCCAGCTTTTTCGGTTGAGGTAATAGGTACTGTAATACAGTAAGATTTTATTTTTACTTTTTTCCATTTTGCAGGGTAATCTGTGTTGCAGCCTTACTTTTATCAGCTTACAAGACAGACCACCTTGTCAAGTTGCGGATGGGAGTGCGCTTAATCTCGATAACGATTGATGCCTTTCGTCTCCTCCCTTCACATGTAGCATGCTTTGCAGCCTCCTGCCTGCGCCTATCGCCCAAAAAGCACCCGTGGATCGGAGTCCCTTTGATTTCCCCCTGAACTTCCGGAGCCCAACCTAGGTTTCGGGAATGTTCATAAACACTCCTGCATCTCTTGCGCACTTCTCTGTGGGACCGTGACATGCTTCACGGGCACCGCCAGGGAACAACAGGACAGCCTGCGTGGACGAAGAGCACGACGCAAGCAGGATAAGGTGATTGACATGCAATTGGTTTGGCTTGACCCGTCTCTTACTACTCAGTGACTCTGCAGCTTGTGCGACGGTGATGAGGAGTGGTGCTGCTGCTGCTGCTGCTGCAGCATGCCGGGGTAAGACATACCGTGACATTCTCATTGCCATCGCCCCAGCTCGATCTTGACTGCTGCGTGTTTATCCACTGGAGTTGTTCCTTATCTTCGCTCGCACAGAGAGCTTCGCCATCTTTCGCGACCTTCGCCGTGAGACGGAGATCCAAAGGCAAACGGCCAAAAAGCCCGGAGACTCGGCGTCATCTCTTGTCGGTCAGTGGCCAACGGTCACATCCTTGGGATAGGACCTGAGGCGGTGTGTCTATCGGGCTACAGAAGCTTGCCACCCATGTACGTTGGGCTGAGTGAAGGAATGACGCCTTCTCCGCATGTGTGCCGGGTGCTAAGGCCGCCACGAGTCAGACAGAACACCGCCTCAGAAGTCCGGCAGCTGTGCGTGTGTTGGAGTCGACACCTCCTGCTTGCATCCAAAAGGCACATGCCACAAACAGGGACGGTGCTGGGGCCACCATCGCAGCCGGTGCCCTGCTGTGGATCCTACAGCGTGGAAGCAGTGCCAGCAAGCCGAAATCTGAATATGCCAGTCAGCATAGAGCCGCAAACAGTGATGAACCGGAGCACCTCGACGATCAGGATACCAAGCAGATCACCGGGAAACAAGGGGAGACCGAACACTACGAGGAGACCAGTGACAGCAGGAAAACCAAGGACCATAGGGACACCGCGTCTAACTGATTTCCTCCTTCTACTGGTGAGATTCAGGAGCATGCCCTAAACAACAGCCACAATCCTTCTCCCATGCAAATGCTTTCCCCCGTGCTAGGTCAAAAGGTAGCCTAAATATTGGAATTTACCTGTACCACACTGTTTGGGGAAATATAAGTTTTAGGAGACCACCACGATGAGAGGGCTACGAGACTACAACAGCCATGAACTGTTCTGATGCCCAGGTGTCAAGTCAAGATGGATCACCTGCAATAGGCTAACCACTTCGAGTTCATGCTGTGCTGTGGGCTGAGCATGCATCTTGCTTGCACAGCCATGTGTCCGAGTCGAAGCCGCAGTAGCCATCGTCCCATTTCCCGTCGTCCGCAGCGTGACGCCTGGCAGGAGGTTTCCAGGCGTCACGGGCAGCAGCGGTCGCAAGTGTTCGAGCAGATGTAAACCTTGGGAGCCCTAGCTGCCAAGGAGCTGTAGCCGGACGAAGCCCTTCTCGCCCCACTCGGGGCCTCTTGCAGGAAGCTCTGAATCACTGAAGGCACAGGCGCATCAGTTGTTTTCAAGCATATTCTGCATACATCTGCATACGGTTTCTGCAGCTACGAGGCCCCACGAGTTCCGAATCAGCCAGTAGGTAAGTCCTCAGCGTGGCGTGTTCGCAGGTACTGTGCAGATATGTGCAGATCACGCGCCGTTCCGTGGCTGGTGAAATCCAGGCCGACTGCACGTTTCACGTGTGTGCTAGCCAGCTGAGTTGACATCTAGCGGGAATCTAGCAGTGCATGCAGCTTGCATTCATTAGCCAAGGTTCCAGACTTGGAGTCCCGGCCGTAGCCGACGGCAAGTACAGCCTCACTCAAGGCTGCAAGATCGGCCATCAAAGACTGCATGGTGCAGATGCAGGGCAGACCAACAGCTGACTGTCCGCCCTGAGTCGAGAACATGGTTGACCTGAGCTGTGAAGTTACAGCCAGCAATCCGGGCATGCAGATCTATCACCGTGTAGGGAGGGGCAGGACACTTACAAAAGTCATAGCCATAGCAGGACTGGCAGTCGATCTAAGTTGCAGAAGCTGCCGGTCTGGCAAAGGGTGAAGTCACAGGAGGGGCATGGGCATTTACATCTTTCCTGCTGCAGGTGACGTGCAGGTCCCTAAATTCGAGCAAATGAACCACTTCGCCGAGTCCAAGCCGCAACCTACTGTATGCAGGAAAGACGCGATACTATCTCTCTTGCAGTCGTTGAAGATGCCACCTCGTCGACTGCCACGATGTTGCGCTGTCTCATGCAGTGCCGGATCCGAAAGAACAACTTCCCAAAACCGTTCCTTTGAAGCCAAGGCACCTCCATACCTGGATCAGGTGCCAAGCTAGGTAACAAACATCTACCCCGCCTGCTGAACTAGGGAGGGGGGGCTATTCCTCTGTGAGCGGCCGTTCTGTTTGCATGACAATTTGATGGGTGAAACGGTGAAAGCCACATCATATGACAGAAGTCCCGACTACTTAGGCATCTCTCTTCTTCTCCCAGGCTTAAGGGGCGAGTTCAGCCCCCCCGGGCACTAAGGCCCACCCGCCTTTCCGGGCTGTCAGAGGGGAGTGAAAGTCAGATGGTCCATCGTAGGCATCTCTCTTTGCTTTGCTTTGCTCAGGAGCATCGGAGGCAGGCAGTCCCGCTCTCACTCTCTCTCTCTCTGTCTCTCTCTTTGCCGTTGCATCCAGAGGGTGCGACTTGGCATGCCCAAAAGCATTTTGGTGATGGGCCTTTGCCATGCAAGGCCTGCTTTCTCTTAACGCTAGCCGCTAGCCATGCTAGCCATGTGGCAGGTTCCAGGAGCTCGCGTCCACGGACACGGAAACCGGCCCCACATTGGCCTCGACATGTGGTGCCAGCTGCAGCAGGAAACATCGAAGAGGGTTCGGAATAGGAAGTTGTAGAGATGCACTGCAGTTGTTATGTTTTGCTCGCTGGCCGATTCACACACATCAACCTTTGCTACTCGGTGCGATCGAGACACAAGCGCTTCCATCAAAGGCTTCAGCTTGTTGGTTTCCAGCCGAACATAGCCTTGACATATGTGTGGGGGTAGCCTTCTCGGGAATGCAAAGATGCAGAGATACCAACTACCGTATTCCGAAGGATATCGGAACCACAACACTAACAGCAAGTGGCAAGTGTGCGTGTGCGTGTGTGTGGGTGTGTGTGTGTGTGTGTGTGAGAGAGTGATATTTTGCCACCCACCTAGACAGCACGAAGCCGCTCTGCGAGTGAAGTAGTAGTAGTCATCGCAACGCTAGGAGGCAATGCCACTTACCGAAGCAAAGCTCTGCTAACGTGCAGACCCCATTGGTGTTAGAGTTTGCGCTCGGTCTGTCCTTCGAAACATTTTCACTTTCTAGAATTGGACTGATGGTGGCAAATGTGGCAACCGGGCAGCCGCGGATCTGGATGTACGGGGACGACCTTGGTGGACGTGGGGCATTGCACAGGACCACTTCAGAACCTGCATCCTTGCGGATTTGGGCTTCTTTTGTTGTTCTCGCTTCTTGAATTTTGCAGGGCATGTGGAAGCTGAGCCTCGGGCTTCTTCGACGCCGCTTTGCATGCTTCGTCTTCTTGGTCGCAGGCCACACGGCAGGAACACCGAACCGAGCCGACGGAGAAGCCAAACAGACAACTCTCTGCCAAGCAGCTGTTGATGTTTCCAGCATAGTGGTCAGCATCGTAGATGCCATGCCTCAGAGGCTGTTTGTGTGTGTGTGTGTGTTTTCTTCAAGACTTAAAGCATGACCTTTCGGCACTCAACCGCCAACAAACCTGTCTCGCCCCTTACGTCTTGGGTGCTGCGCACACTAATTACTAAACTAGATCCTCCGAGGCGTCTGGGCATAGATAACACCAAGCTTTCGTTCTGCCAGGATTTACAAGATATCAAGGCACATGCCTTATCCAGACTTATCCAGGCTTGCCCAGCCGCTGTGATGTGTAGTCGAAAGCCAGCTCGGAGGTAGCACCCTGGCGAGCAGTCTTGCTTCTACAATAGATATCCCAAGACAGTTATTTTGATTTTGTCAGTTAATCTGTTCTTGTCCGCAGCAAGGAGCTGAGAGCAGTAGTTAGGAAGTCAGATCGTCAGGACTGTAGCAGGGACATGCCCAGCTGATCAAAAATGAGTGCGGCGAGATAAAGGTGCATGCGTACGCTGCGCCTGGCAGCCTCCCTCTCCACCACAATGCTCCGGATTTGGTGTGCAGTCCTTGCAAGGACCAGGAAGCATCGGTAATCGCTCACCGCGCTGTTGCGACAGGAGGAAAAACTGGAAGTTGCAAAGAACCAAACTAGCGCTAAATTGCTCTTGCCGCAGCTGGCTGTCAGCTCTTCGGCCCTAGGAATGCTACAGCACGATGCGTAACAGTCGTCTAACTTTGTCTTGGCCATCTGAGCCCATGGCCACAAGCTGCTTGAACGAAACATTTCGAGGCACCTGGCGCTCGAGCATCAAGCATGGCACTAATTTGCAGGAAGGCTCCGCCCACCCGGCGATATGTATGCACAAAAATGTCCATTGCAACTTCACTTTCCTGAATCTTCGAACGCACCAGGGCATGTGCATGCAGGTCTACAACTTTCGAGGATCGACGGCGAACAATAAATCAACTAGAATTAGGATGCTGAAAGTTTGGTTGTATGGTTGGAAAACACCGATTGAAACACCGATCTATGCGGCAGGTGAGCTGTGGTGTGTATTTGTTGTATTGGCTAAAGGCGCCAACAGTTCGATCAGTTCGCAGTATTGCACAAGCTGGGTTCTTCCTTGGTCTATGCTTGCTCCTTGATTAACCTGTCTTCGCTCAATCGCCTGTTTTGGACACTGTGCCGCGAACTGGCTCTGCCGGCTATGCAGCCACAACATATCTCCCTACTCATACGAGCACCCGCGAACATGTAAAGAAGTACTCGATAAAATTACAAGTACATACACAATGCTTGCTACATCAATGCTTTGTGGGTGTGTGCACGTGTGCGTGTGGGTGGTGTGTCTCCGTGCCTGTGAGCGGGCGCGGGTGGTGCGCAGGTTAAAAAACCTGTCTGCGAGTGCCTGTGCTCCTGTAATGGTAGCTTGTGTGTTTCTGTTACTTTGACGAATGGTCTCCGATTTCCGGTATGTGTGCGCACGTGCGAGCACGTGCGCTTGCTTTGGTTGCCAGTGCAGTCAGTGTCACGTCTCATGTCAGGGTCCAGGTCCCTGCAACACGGCGGTTTCAAGAGCTACTAGTAGCACTTGCGGATTGACGAAGGCTAGCGCGTGCTGTACGAGCTGGACGTAGCTTGTATATACTCAGCACATGCAAAAAGCCATCAATGCCGTCTCCACACCTACTGTCCCAAACATCCCAGACAAGTGGGAGCTGGATCTATAACGCTGCACCTTGTCGCGATGTTGCTGATTCTGCTTCCTGAAAAACATCACACATGCAACTACAACGGGTAAATGATGGCTGGATGGCACGTGACTCGAAATCGACCAGGCTAGCCATTGTAATACCATGTAATACCTGAATCGCAAGTCCAGTCCAGTCCTCAAGGCGATCTCAGCATGGATCTCCTGAGCTGTCGGGAACTTTCGGGAGTTCACAAGTTAGAGTCTAAGTTAGAGTTTAGCAAAATCATGAGGCCTTCGAAACTCAGAGACCAGGGTTTTCACGCGTTCGCCCCAATTCCGAGCACCAGCCACACTCGCGACTTCGGAAAAGAGGGTGCTTTATCGTAGTGGATCATTGTCGGCAACACTACATATCATGCCCGTTTCTGCAATCTCGGTGTCCATCGCGCCCGCAGCTGCCACGGCCCAGCAGGATCCGCAAGAGCCCTGGCCACTGAGATTCAGCTTGACTCTTGGGCTCCGAAACCCAAATGATCTTGGGATATCTTGGGGGTGTTGTCGTCGGGATGTCAGCTTTCATGCACAGAAGCACTTGCCAGAATCAGACCTACTCGCTTCTCCTCGTGAGATGCCTGTACAACCCTCAAATCGCCCTGGCGGGAGAGCACCTCCAGCGTGAAGCTAAATCGGAAGACGCGTCCAAGATTCAAACATCAGACATATCCCCGAAACAAGAGGCACAACACGTAGATCTACTAGACCCATGTGACGAAAGCGCTGACGCAAGTCGTTCAACTGTACAGCGCTCTTGTGCTGAAACGAGTGATTAGACTTGTATTGAGGACTCTAGCAAGCCCTGCAGAAGTCAATTTTCCCCACAACTGTTGTGTCGACAGGCTGGCGGCTGGAATACAGTAGAACATTACATGGGTGTCCGAAGCATTGCTCTCCCCCGTGTTTAGGCAACTTTCGGTATCTGGACACACCGATGCAAGCAACATGCAGACTATTATATGTCCTGGGGACACGGTTCCGGTCAACATGAGTCAGCGGAGCACAAAACTCTAGCCCAGCGGTCGACCTGTTGATGGACGAAGTTCGTGGTCACCTGTGCTGCTGCTGCTCCAGCGCTCTTGCACAAAACTGTTCCCATTAAGAACTGCCTCCAGAACTTCCGAAAGTCTGCAATGCCCCACTCCCTTCGTCCAACAAAGCATTCCCATCTTGGCCGTGGCACGAGGTTCCTGCGCCAGTCCACTTCTGCTGCAAGCTCCGCCTGCACGCGCCGAACCACTCCAGACGCCTGTCAAATATGGCGCAAGCTTAGCCATGCGAGGGTTCAAACAAGCGTTCTTCTGGCGGGTGTCCTGGAGACTCTGGAGACAAAGCCTTCCAGCTTCTGAATGCTGAAAGTCCCCGCCTGTTCGCGGAGGGAAGGCCTCGGAAGCCACCAGCGGCCCAAACGGCGGTGACCCAGCAAGGCCTCGGAGCTGCTCTTGTGCGAAGATATCTACGCAGAATTCCAGCAGTACGCCTGCAGCTCCTCGTTTCGCTTCGTGCTATTGAACTTCACAATGCTCTTACTTTCTGACATGCATTTTTTTGCCTCCCGCCTGGCTAGGACGAAACCTCTTTCTCACACACGATGTCTCCAGCTCACACACTTCAAGCACATCATGGAATGGGATGATGCGCCTTGAACTCCGCATCAGTGTAATCTGCGAACACATTCACCGCGGCTGTCCACGTGATGCCTGAAGTGCAGGGGGTCACGAAGACCAGCCGTGGCACCAGACTATGTGCATGCCGCTATCTTCTCCAATAGCCATGTACTCTTCCGGCGCATATATATATATATATATATATATTAAATAAATATATATATATAGTATAGTTTGATTTAGTTACTATAAATACTAATACAATATAATGCTTATTTCTGATCTGTTTTTTTGTCGGCCTTCTCGGGAATTGTGTTCTGTCACCAAGGCTTTGTTCCGCTGGAACATCTCAAAGCGCTGCTTGTAGCTCAGGGAGTCCTGATAAATGGCATCTCACTCTTACCTACTTACTGCCTACTCCAGCTGCTGCTGCTACTGCTGCTACGACTGCGAGTGCGACTGCTACTACCACTGCGGCAACAACGACGGCGACTACGACGACGAGTCCGACTGTTCGCGCTGCCCTTGGGCAAGCTCACCCGCAACGACTTGACCATAGAGTTGTGGCTAATCCATGTCCTGCTGATACTGATCCTTGCGGTGCTTCTGTCGAAATTCCTGCATGCGGCGGGCGAAGCGGTCGTGGAGATACATGCGCTCCAGCAAGAACTGTGCATCCGTAAAGCCTACAAGTGAAGACAAGCGCAGCCTCGTAGTCTTTGATGTCAATATCTTCCTGAGCGGGCACTAACTGCCTTGGCAGAGCCCCGATCGGCCTTAACATGTTCCCTATCCATGTGCCGCAGCTCTTTAGAAGCCTCATATTCGAGGCTGCTAGGATAAATGTCTGCGCAGATGCCTGGGTCGACTCCACCCGCCCATCGGCTGTAACAGAGAAGTCGAGCGCCGCGGCCGTAGAAAACGCAGCAGCCAAAATCTCAGAATGAGTGTTTCTTGGCTTCGTGAAGCATCCTCTGTTCCTATGCTTGGGCCATCTTATCCTTAATTGTGGGCGGAGGAGGGGGCTGGGCGACCATGTTCCCGCCTCTGCTATCATCAGCGGGATAGTGCAGAAGATCCCAAGCCCAACATGGGCGCTGGACAAGAACCACCCAAAAAAGCCTAGAGGGATCATTCTGGCTGACCTGCAAGGCAACCCGAATTGAGGAGACCGGCTACACTCACCGAAGAATTCCGGCTAAATACTGCGTTCAGGCTGAGGCAAAGTGCCCAATCATTGGTCAGAACCAGTACTGATCTTCGACTTCCATGCCCAGACTGCTGCCGGGTTGCTGCCGCTACGGGGAGGCACGTCATGGAAAGATACGTAACAGTCTGACCGAGTCCAGCAATGTTCCCACAAGATCTTACTAATTGAACACTCACTCTGTTTACGACTGGACTTCGGTAAAACTGGAGGGGACCGCCGTCGACGGGCCTTTGAGCCAAAGCCACAAGGCCGTGTGCAATCCAGCAGACACTCGCAGATGCTCGGTGTGCCATCCCGAGATCCCGCATGTTCGCGCCAAGTGAAGCCTCGTTTCGCTGCAGCAGCCGTACGAAGTTTCGCGGCGTCACAGGAACCTTGGCCGCTGAGCCAAAATGACTTGACCATACTTGATCACTGATTCAGCTCCTGCTGCTTGCCTCTGGGCTGAGCGTGATGCTGCACCCCATTTCGCAAAAGCGCCGCCGACGCCGAAGTTCTCGCCCACACCCAGCTGACAGCGCGGTAAAGGCAGCAGACGACTAGCAGACGGGAATCCGTCATCCTGCTGAGTACAGCTCTTTGCGAATGCATGCCCACCAGCCTCACCATCACTCTCCATGTCGGCATGCTCGCCCGCACCTTGCAGAAGAATGTACCAAAAACGAATTCGGCAGCTTCAACTTCTTCGCCCTTTCTGAAGGCTCAGGTCTTGGCCCATTCCGAAAGGTCCCATGGGCTGACTTTTCTTGCCTGTCCCAGAACAACTTATGTGAGGTACACAGAAGGAAAGATCTGGCTCCGGGCCAGAAGAACCCTCAAATACTCTGCGCAGGTGTTGCAAGCACCTTGCCCAGTGAGCTCCTCCACTGCCTTAGTTACCGTGGGCTTGGCTATCGCTCTGGCTATTGGTTTCTGCGCGTGCGCCAAGGAGGCTGTCCATGTAGGGAGATGACGGCGTCGGCTTGCTGCGTGCACCGTGCAGAGAGAGCCAGTGACAACAAGAGCAACATCAGCGGATGTCATGGTACGAAGTGCATCAGAGCTGCTTTCTGGCCCGCTTTCGCAGCTGCACGAAGCTCGAAGGGAAGACCTGTGGAGTCCAAGTAACCTGGCGCCAAACATGATGTGGTCTGGGATGGCCGTAGCTAAGCCGGGCTCCGGCGTGGGAGTCGAAGGCTCGTCAGTAGATTACATGGAGGTTGCAGATAAAGCTGCAGCAAGAGAGCGACGAAAGCCTTTTGAGTGGCCATGATATTGCTGAAGATGACGGAGGGCGTGAGTATGATGATCATCATGAGAAGGGGAGGATGGGACAGTTAATGCTTGTAAGTATGGTCATGATAGGCATGACGTCGTAGTCAGTGAGAAAAGCATAATAGTTATCAGGATAGGAGTGACAAGGAGTGACCTCAAGAATGCTTACAAATCGTAGCACCAGTACGCTTCAAGAGTAGTTACTTGGTTACTAGTCTCATCTTCTGCAGACCTTGATGGTCGTGACCACCCCGCATGCACCTGGGTCATCTGTCGTGACAGTTGTTGACACCAAGCTGCTGAAAACCTGGGCCGGCAGCACGCGACACAGGTGAAGCTAGAAAGGCCGGGAAGTGCATCTGTAGTCAGTCGATGGCGATCACGCCGACAAGCAAAGTGTGGCGAAGGGGTTCAACCTTCCGCTGAGAACGGGGACTCAAGGAGCCCTAGACGAAGTCCATCCTTAACTCTGCAGCTTGCAGTGACCTGGCGGCAAAACAACAGATCCGGCCACATCTGATGCCACCTGTGTATATAACTATATCTGAATTGGAACATATGCTTGGCCACATGACCGAACCCTCTTGCACGTGAGGGCCGGCCACTAGCCCAATCAGCTCAGAGGGATACACGAACCTTGCATTCTGCTGGGGTGAAAGCAACAGCCCTGCGATCCCCATCGTTCAAAGGCCGGCTGTGCACTTCTTTATCTCGCTGGCTCGTGCTGAAATGTTGCCGAGTGACTTCTGGAAAGTTGATCGGGTGCGCCAGACCTGCAAGCAAGTGTAGTAACCCTTCAAGCTGATATGAGCCGGACGGAGAGTCTTTTTGCTGCCACCACGAAGGACCCCTTTTCGCAAGATGAAGCTGTGCGGTCACCTCTCGCAGCGTAGCCCTTCTCGATGAGGAACTCACGAACCTAAGCAGGAATATTCCCGCCGAAGCTCAACACAGGACGTAAGGTGGGAAATGCACAAGGCACTGATTAATGCTGCGGCAACACTAGTTCTTCGAGACATTCTGCCTGAGAAATTATAGCAAGGAGGACCCGACCTCTAAAGACCCAACGCAATCAGAGATCCCATGAGCTGAGCTTGCGGCAAGTGGGCCTAAATCAAGTGCGAAAAGCTGATGATTTCCAACCTGGCCGCCATTCATCGGCGTCTCCCTACTGCAGCAGGCTGTGTACACTGCAATAGCATTGGTCCTGGGCTGAGGATCCACGCCAAGATGAAGCACTTCAAAAGATGTACGTAGCCGAGCAATGACATGCGTCAGACATTGACTCAATTGGCAGTTTAGGCTGGCGCAGAAACATCATTAACCTATACACATCTTCACATATATACATGGAAACAAGTACATGGAAATACGTACATACACACAAGCTATCACAAGCTTAGGGCGACTTCGAAAGAACCATTACAACCACAACCTGCGCAATATGTTCAAATTGGTTTTGGTGAGTGGTGTGTGTATTTATGTATGTATAGACATATGCACATGAATCAACATGTTTGACAACAAAGCAGCATGTAGGCATGTATCCCTGTATGTACGTGTAAGCGTGTGTGTATGCATACATATTACACTATATATGACATATAGCGCTTTCATTAACAGCACCGACATGTCAATCAAGATGCTACACTCCCGAAGCAAGGCAGGGAGGCCAGGAGAACCGGGCGGCCCAATGCTTTGGGGTCGGGTACTCCCTCGAGCCCGAACCTCGGAAGGGACAAGGATGAACTTGCACAGCACGCAGGCGACCAGAGCAGGAGGTTCAAATTTCGCTGTAGGCTTCAATCTCAGGGTAACCTTGCGAGCAGACACTGTCGACCGGAATCTTGGGTCTGCCGAGCAGGTAGTGATTAGTGAGGCAAACAAGTGCACCGCTGCGGTATTCCCCGTATTGCACAAGCCCAGCCTGGACTCTCTGTGGGCAGCGGCAACTCGTATCAACTCGTGCGGCCACGAAACACCAAGCGTGCATGTGGACTTCCATACAATGGCAACTCGCATGCATTGTACGGCTGAGGCCGCCGGCTTCCGCTTTCCCATCTCTTCAGACCAGCTGCAGAAGACTGGTGACCTGGCCGCGGCTTTCAGTGTTTGGAGTTCCCAAACCGTGCATAATTGTGGGCCCGCTGAGGAGGGAGGGAGAGAGAGAGAGAGAGAGAGAGAGAGAGAGAGAGAGAGAGAGAGAGAGAGAGAGAGAGAGAGAGAGAGAGCGAGCGAGCGAGCGAGCGGGAGAGTGAGTGAGTGGTTCTTACAAGCGTAGAAAGCCAATCACTTCGTCGCCCTCGCCGAAGCAGTACTCACGGTCGGCAGCAGCAGCGCAGCTTTAAACGGGACAGGCCGGATGGACACCAAGGCCGCTATGGGCTCAATGTTTCTTGAGCCCTGCTCCAGCTTGTCGAGCGTGGGGAATTCGAAGTCATCTCGGCGGTGCTCTTGGATACTGTACTTCGGCTTTGCCATTCTGGTTTGAGCAGCCCTGCCGGGTTAATAGCATGCCACCCTGCGTCCTCTGTTCTCTTGTTTCCGCAACTAGCCACGTCTCTCCAGCACCGCACATTTACACTCGTTGAAGCGATGCTTTCCCAAGGTTGCTGCCGACGTAGTTGCGTGACGAGGGCTTCCTCACCAGCTGCGGCATCAAGTCGTGGTCTCCAGATGTCTCCAGAAGGATGTGGCAATGCTTTTCTGGACGAAGTTGCTGTAAGCTCCCGGCTTGTAAATTGGAGATTCCTGCACATGCATGACTTCTGTCAGGAATTGAGGGGCTGGGACTGGTGTAACGTGTAGTATAGCTGCCGCACAATTCCGTACTGCGAGTTCGTTGTTGCACCGACTGTGACTGATGCCTGCCTTGTGCCTTGTGCAGTCTTGAACGGACTGAAGGTCCGAGTCCTTGAGAAGCTCAGCGATGTTTACACGTCCGTCGAGTGGCGCATGACCAGAGTCTTTCAGCTCCACAACCTTCGAGCGAGGCAGAGGGCATATCTGTTCAATCCGCTAAAGGGGAAAGCCGACGGAGGCGGGGATCTCCGTCAAGCACGCATCTTTCGGGTGCATCTGCTTCAGATTGTGCTTTGAAGTGCTGCCCTGTGCATATCCTCAGTCTTCCTTACTCACGGCCGTTGCTGTCTTCTTGCCAGCAGCATGCTGTTGAAACAGCCTTTGTTTTCGTCCTCCTTGCTACTGCTGGTCTTGTTGGCATTGTCGTCATTGCTCTCGTTGCTGTATTGTTTTATCATGGTTTCATGGTCGCTGTTGACCCCCCGTCACTCAATCAAGAACAGGCCAGTATTGACCCGGCCTCCAAAACAGTCCCAAAACAAAGGAGACGACAGAAACAACAAGATCGCAGCTTTCCGGCCCATGGCCGACACTACCCGCTTTTGCTACAGCTACACTGAAGCCTAGTTCCTTCCTGCCCTAACTTATTACCTGGTGCTCCGTGCGCTCAGCCCCCCGTGCTCGTCTGAGGACGTGGCTTGGAGGCGTTTGTCGCCGCAGCGCGCACGCAACACGCCCCTGTCCCATGACATGCTGAAGGAGAACTGTGGCCTGTGGCCAACGCTCACTTGCCGCCTTTGTCTGCTCACTCAAGCATCTTGCTGCGGTCTTGCCTCAATCGTTCTGCCTCCTTGTCCGAGATAAGCAAGCGGTCATCTCAGACTTCGAGAAACTGCAATAGACCATGGCTGATCTTCTTGGCTGAGGCTCGAGCTGTCGGAAGCCAACAACAGGGTCGGCCTCAGATGTTAGTAACAGCTAGTAACTAGCACCAGGACCCGGTGTGTCCTGAGTTGAAGGAATTCCTTGAAAGGCATGCGCAGCGAGAACCTGTGGAAGGCCTTGTGCTCAACAGCAAGCCCACTCACTTAACAGCAGTGTGTTTTTGACTGCTTCAACACCCAGCAAGGCGACATTTCCAGAATGGGCACCTAGTAGTTCGTTATCATGAGCGCAGGCTGTCAGGTCAGACTGCGTACGAGAGCAAGCTGGCGAGCAGGCGTGATGAAGACAGAAGTTGGGGTGCTTGTGGCATCCTGGCTCCCCCATGTAACCTGCACTCTTGGCAGGGAGAGCCAGCCGGTCTTCAATGGAATCAGTGCAAAGCCAGGAATAACGTCGTTGGGGTCAGATGCGGGAAGGCAAGCAGCCTGGTAGCACGTCGGCCCAGACAGGAGGTACCGGTCCGGAACCTCGCCTTCTCCCTGCAGGACGCGAATCTTGATTTCGTCATGATCCACGGATCTGGCATACTTCAGGCGAACCTGCACAGCTAAGGATGTTCCAACCGTTCCCGTGCTGCTTGCCTGTAGCTCCACTTGCAAGCTTTGGCTGCTAAAAGCAGCTGCTGTCGGCACAGGCAGCATCCACTCAACCACTGCAGCAGGCATCGGGTTGGGCGGCCAAGTGCTTTTGGTGTCCTTCCACGGGAAGAAAGCTTGAACGGCCTGGTAGCGCTGGAAGCACACCCGTAAACGGGGCCGAGACTTCAGCACCAATCCTGGTTCCACAGGCCATAAAAATGCATAGGAGGATCCAGGTTGCATCTGACCCATTTTGCCAAGACAAGCCACGGTCTGCTCTGTGTCTGAGCCTTCAGGTGTATAAAATACCTCTGCCTTGACAGTCTCCACAGCTGTGGGAAGGTGGCACCGCAAAGAAAAGGAGACAGGCTTCTGAGCCAGCATCGCCGCTGATAAGCGCTCCTCTGCAGTGTGCAGTTTCACACCATGCCTTGGATGTCAGACAGTTAGACTGAAAACACATCGGCCGTGAAACAACAACATAACCTGAGACTCAACAACTCCACGTGTGCCCCGATGCTTGAACTTGATCTGTGGGGTCCAGCACTGCGCCACCGCATCCCCACCGATCTGCTGCACCTCGAGCCCCAGAGCTACGCCACAGGCGTGCTCGCAGCGGACTGCCAAGGGCAGAGCAAAGTAGGATGCGCCTCGGGCATAATGACACACCTCTTGGTCGCATGACGTGCGCGTGGCAGGAGAGTTCCGGAAAGGAGGCAAATATGGGATATTACAAAAATAAAAGGATGTTTTATACACTTGTTATTCAAGCGCTTCAGACGTCCTTACGCACCCGGAAAAGGCTGCTGTGAACTCGGAGAGTCTTTGGGAGGATCTGTGACGAAGCCGAAGTGGCGCCCCCTGTAGGTCAGCCGGCAGCAGACCGAGGAGATCGTCGGATGCCTTAAGCTCGGACGTGGAAAAACCTGCCACCACTTTCGAGGTACCCAGTGCCAGAGGCTCCAGATCAAAGGGCTTGTTAGCACCGGAAGCCTTCAGGAGGTCTATGCGAAGGCCCGTGGGCTTTTCCGCTAAGTGTGCGGGGGTGCTGTCATCCAGGTCCTCGCTGAAACGGGCATGGCAAGAAAGACTTATTTGGCAGGATTCTGTTGACGGTCGCTCCGGCCATGCGTAGATCACGACATAGAAGATGAAACACTCGGACACCAAGGCAGCCACGGGCTCCACCGGGAGAACCGTCTCCGCCTCCAGCTTCAGCCGGAGGTCGCTGGGTTTCCGTGCACCTTCCTTGGACGCCTGCGCACTCGAGGTGCCGTCAACAAGGTTGAAGGCCGGAAACCCCGAGTGACGTCCAGCGTCACTGATCAAGTCGCAGGAATCGCAGGGCTGCTCACACATGCCTGGCAGTACCCGGAGAGACGTTTCGAAAGAACCCTTTTTTGCATCCAGCCTGCAACGCCTCTGCTGGGAAGTAAGGGAGCGACTTTCGAAGCCTAAACTCCTAAACCTCCCACAATCCTAGAACAGTCGCAAGAGTTCCAGACTGAGGTTTTCGAGCATCCTGCCTAGAAATACCACTGATGTAGACCGGGCCCAAGTCAGGCGCACCTGCAACGAACTGGAGTCTGCAGTGATCTGCAAGCTACACATAGCTGAGGTTTATCGGGGACAGGTCTTAAGCCTTAAGCAAAATTGACCAACGGCTACAAACACCCATACCCAGTTCAGCACTCCACGCTTCTCTGCGAACCCAGCAGCCACTACAGTGCCTGAGCCCCAAAATCTCTTCGAACCCCGGACCCCCGCGCGCCGTCGTCACCGCTGCGCCAGCCCCGGGTAACGAGCCCCGGAGCCGCAAAGGGCAGCCGGCCTTCGGCAGGACAAGGGGCCTTTGATCTTGGCCTTTGAAAAGACTACTATAAGGGATCTATAAGGTTTCTATAAGGGGATCGAATCTACGGAAGCGCCAGGACACCGGGGGTCCTTCATGCCGACGGAGTCGGCATTTTGATTTATAGTATCAAAGCCAAATAACACTAAAGAAGCAAAGCAAAAACAGCTAACTACGACACCCGCCACATAGGATCCAAAAGACTGTTGAACCTTTGCATCTTTAGAAAAAGTCTGGCCCTGGCCTCCCAGATCTGACTTTCACTCTGTTCGATGGTCAAAGGCACAGAGCCTTGGAAGCCATATAGTCGGGTTCCCGATTCCCGGGCTGTGGGAGCCTACATAACAAACATAACATACATACGTACATTGGACATGCATGCATGACCATGCATGCATGCAGCATCTTGCAAATGGCTGTCGGCTGCTGGGCCGGATGAAAGCTATCACTCTCTGCTCTTAGCTTGCTCCGAGAAAGCTGCAAATACCTGCTTTTTTGGACTTGTTGAGTCCTGAAGAAATCCGCTACATGGTGCCCTTCTGGATCAACACACGAGCAGCCAAGAGTCCGGTGGTAGTGCTTGCAGAAGCACTTGCCAGCTCCAAGCTGATGGGCAGTTCAAGCTTGTCGAAGACCACATGAAACACATCTGGATCTTCTGCGCCCTGGCTCCAGGTAACCTGGCATTGGCTTAGTTGCACCTCGATGCTGTCAGCCTCTTCCTGAGCAGCTCGCACAACCAAGGCCGCAAGCTCTTCTGCCTGGCTCAAGTCGGCTGAGACCGCAGATTCTGGAAGCTTCATGTACTCGAAGGCATCTTGGACCAAACTCCTCCTCAACATGCCATGGTCCTGCGTTGGTGACGGCTCAGCCGAAGAGTCCACGGATGAGCTGGCAGGAGTTGCTCGACTTGAGGAACAAAGTGCAGGCACCGGAAGGCCCAGTGCTGTCAAACAACAAAGCAGTGAGCGCTCCAAAGCAAATCGTCGCAGCGACGGCCAGGAAGGTGCCGGCATCTGCCGCAAACGCTCAAACAAATTGCGTGCAGCTTCTTGATGCCCACTGCCAGGCTCACAAAGGTAAGCCTCAGCCACACGGGCTTGCGAGGCCAGGATCCACGCGGAATAGCCGCGCTCCTTCGCAGCGGCCTGTGCCCGGATCAACAGCTTCAAGCTGCGGTCTGCATGCTCCGTGCAGAGTTTTGCCTTCCAAGGGCCAGGACAAGGGGCCAAAGCAACTTTCGGACCCGGCCTTGCCTCCGCATGTGCCAGCCGCAAGGTCACCTCTCTGGCAGGTGCCTGAAGGGAAGGCGTGGCGTTGCACTGACATACTCCTGCTGCTCGTGCTCAACACCAAAAAACCGCACCTCGACCTCTGACGGCCGCTCCAGCACTCCAGCCTGGCACAGGGTGTGAGGATATGCGAGGATCTTTTTCCATGTGTTGCTACGTGCGATGCACGAAGATGACGATGAGTATATAGTTACTGAATGTCACTGAGGAGTCGTCTGTTTGTTTGAGGCTGTGAATACAGTTGAACACAGGTGGCACACTCCTTTCGCTAATCTCGGAACGGTTGAAACAGATACCTGGCTCGACCTCGACCTGACATCTACTATCGTAAGCTGCCACATGCAGCGCAGAGCTGGCAAAGGCGGAGGATGGCGGAGCGGTCTCGGGAGTGGACCTTCTGCTACCCCGATCGACCACCACCCTTCACCTTCTGATAGCTGATAGCATAAATAAAGGCAACGTAAGGATAAGAAAAGGTGCATGCAGGCCTTCTGCGGAGTTGGATTGTAGCTAGCGATGGCTAGCGGCTAAAGGGTCATGGTAGACAGTCGTTCGGATTCGGGGGCCTGGCCCAAGAATGGAGAGGCTCGGAGCTCGCCGCCCTCGCCCTTTGGGGCTGGCAGGTGCCCGGGTTCCAGGCAGCGCAACGCCCACTCACCTTGTGCAGCTCTCTCTACGCAGAGTGGAGCAAGACTTGCAAGTCTGTTCCACAATACGACATACGAGTACATGCCCCTGTTGCATACACGAATGAATTGTGGGCTGCTGTTGCTGTCCGGGCTTTTCGAGAAGCAACTAAATCAGGTGATCGTGCTTCTATTCTTGAGTGCAGGCTGCGTAGTCGTCTGGCATAGCTCGCCGCCACCTCAAGGATGCAGTACACGTCAGACTTTCAATTCCTTCGCAGCTACGAGCATGCAGGCCTGGTAGTGATATCCTGGGAACTGCCAGAGGTCATTCTGGTCGATAAGCCTGAGGATCCAAACCTAATCAGTGCCTTGCCTTGCCCTACAGTTTGCTTGGGAGCCAAGCTATCTATCTATCCATCCTCCAAGCCAACGAAAGAGGCACGCAATCAGAAACACAAACACAAGATGTGCACAAACAAGCTCGGATGAATCGGAAGAGACGAACAAGCATGACGCATACCTTCTCAGCCTTCTCACAAAGCACCTGTCCGGCTGCTGGAGAAGGGAGGTCTGAACTCTAAACACATAACTCATCCAGGAGACATAGGCGCCTTTTGTGACATTGTATCGAGGAAGTCACCTTGGTGTCTGCACTCCACTGAGAAAGAAAGCGCAAGCCTTGGCGAACTTGCAAGCAGGTGGCCAAAGATAACATGATTCCTCAGCTCAGAAGACTTACAACTAGATGTCGCAGATAGAAAGAAGATAAGGTCGAAGTACAAATGCACAATCAAACAAGATAATGAACAGCACCAGTTTTAACTGGGTGTCAGAGACAACCAGCGAAACTTTCGCCATACCAGCTCGTCGTCATCGGCCTACCAAGGACAAACACCACAGCCGATGTTGAACTCGCAACAATGAGTCGAGGTGTCACAGCTACAATCCGGTTCGAGCAATCATGGGATTTCGGCTCGCTGCGAACTGAGCTACGAGTACAGCAATATCAGGGCTTTGCTAGAGGATTTCCCATTTCGACCCAGCTGCGCAGCATCTTCGGAGCGAGGACGTGTGCACGCGGCAATGGTGAACAGCAGCACCCACATCGTGTGATGCAAAGTATCTCTCATACATCCTTCGCTGGCTACTACTGGCACGAGACTTGTGCAGCGTGTGGGTTCCCTGAAGACTTCGGAGCACCTCTCATGGCACACATCCGGTCCTGACAGTTATGTGGTTGCACAGATCCATTCTTTCGACGGCATCAGCAATATCGGACTCGTTGAGCAGCAGCTCATAGGCCTTGCAACATGACGACTACGTCTGCTGAATTTTCCCAGGTCGCGCTGCAGAGAAAGCACTCTGGAAAGTCTGAGCAGGATGATGCAAGTGTTAGGGTACCCCGATCTCCCATACCAGCCTTACCGTAACAGAAAACCAACGTCCCGTAGGAACAACATCGGGAGCACGGAATACGCTGAACTCACTCGTTCGATGTCCCTCGCTGATGGAGGAGGATGGTCAACCGGCCCTGCCTTGATGTAGAATGTCAAGGCGGCGCGCACATCTTTGCGGAATTCGTTCAGAAAGGCAACCTTGAAGTGCATTCTGACCTCACCGCGACGCAACAGACGCAAATCTTATCTTCGATCGCTTCTCCTGATAGAGTCTTGTCCACAGCTGCGCCTGCATGGCAGTGTGCGCCGATGTTGAGACCTAAGTCTGCACGGGCAAGGTGTAGTCCAACATCTCACGTGCACACAACACGATAAGCGCTTCTGGGTACTCATTCCTCTGATGCTCTGCATGTGCAGCCGAAACCTAATTGAGAAAGCAAAGCCAAAGCCGTGAACAACATCCACGTTGTGACGGTGCTGATTCTGCATCATCTAGCGAGATGGTTATTCATGCTGTTCTGATTATCCCACTGGCTACAAACAGATCAAACAGTCTTTCAACAACTTCTGACCAGCCGCCGGAACTTTTGGTGCCCACGGCTTGCGCAGCCGCTTCTCCTCATCTGCCTGAGACTGTCAACAGCTTCCAGGCAGGGTGTGCGCACGAGGCAAGAGGCTCGAATCCCAAGTTCCGAAGATTTGTTCAGACGTGTGGCATAAAAGGACATGGCACTCTGGTAGATGAGGCGCTCGAGCTTCGGCGCCTGTAAGCGCATAGGGCATAGGGAAGCCACAAGCGTTTCCAAGTCTCTCTCCACCGTATGTACAGAGGTGGCACGTGTGTGTGTGTGTGTGTGTGTGTGTGTGTGTGTGTGTGCGTGTGTGTGCGCGCGTGCGCGTTTGCTTGTGTGTTTGTGTGTATGCGCGTGTGTGTGTGTGTGTGTATGTGTGCGTGTGTGTGTGTGTGTGGGGTGTGTGTGTGTGTGTGTGTGTGTGTTTGTGTGTGTGTGCGTGCGTGTGTGCGTGTGTGTGTTTGTATGTGCGTGTGCGTGTGGTCGCACAGCGGTAATTATCCTTGTCGTTGCCGAATCAGGCGAACGTCGAAGAACTGGGTTGCAACATGGTGCAACAGAGCCACGAGCGTTTATGCTCAAGCATGGATCTGCAGTCTGCAATAACATGTCTGAACAATCCTGAACCCCATGTGCATATCCGGCTTATCCATTCGACCAGGCATGCCCTGCGTAGTAATCGCCAAGTTTTGTGTGTAAGTGATCCGCGCCCTGAACCTCTAGCCCTCAAGGAACGGACCTTCATCGGCAGATCGCTTGTCCCAACCGCCACCACAAGTCCAGCAAACTCAGGCTGATTGCGGAGGAACGCGCAAGCAGCCTGGAATCAAACTGAGCGTGTGTGGGATGAAAGCACTCGGACCCTCTAGCTCAACAACCGTCGCACTCTGCCCGACGTTGAACCAAAACTGAGCACTACGACGAATGCACCCTTCTTTTTCAAGTCTAGGCTAAAAGCAGAAAACTCGTCGAGCCAGAGTGCTAGCGACGGCCGTCGTTCACGGGTGTTACTGCACACACACGTGTGTTTCACAACAATCTATGTTGCCTCCGGGTCTGCTGTGCTCTCGTGGAGAACGATGAAAATCAGCAATCGAAGGTCGCGCTCCTCGCCACGGGAATGTTGCCGTCTGCTGCAGTTGAACAAGGTGACGACCCCTCTAGTTGACCTATGTCCTGGAGCATTTCGCGCGCTTTTTCTGGCTCATGGTGTTTTTGATCGTAGGCTTTTGCATTCAGCATGCATACTGTACGAAGCATGCGCTTCAAACCACAACAACAGCGTTCAGAAGGTACTCACAAGCAACAGTTGTGGCATCGACTCGACGAAGACCTTCTACGGAGACAACCGTTGTTGGGGACAAGGGGTCCTGTTTCATTTAGTTCGTGAATCTTTCCTGCCACGAGAGGTTGGTAATACGCAAACAGTTGTCTGATCATGTGCTGCAAGACCCCGACGAGCCCCCGGCCTTCGCTTGCCGTCGGGCATGCTGCAAGTAATGCAGCACCTGCGACTCCTCCTGCCAAAGTGCGGCTGTACTCTACGAAATGCATGCCGAAAGGCGGAAACGGCGGAAAGTGCAATTTGCATCCTCATGCGTGCGTGGTCCTGTTCTGGCTGCCGCAGGTCTGCGGACCAATCGATGCACAGGATGAGGACAGCAGGGATGCCGTTGCACAACTTCTCCAGCCTTGGGAAGCCAAGGCTCTCCAAGACAGCATCAAGCTTGTTTATTCTCTCCACTTTATTTCAATCAACAGCCCCAGGCATCTCCGACTCCAGACAGCCAAAGCACCAGCGCCGCTTCAGGATGCCTTCCACCCGGTAGCCCGGGGAGTCACGACCACCACGTTTTGCTGGCAGGATGCGCATGTCGTATGTCGAGGACAAGTACCTTTGGATTCGATCGCGGCACCACGTGGCAGTAAAGTATACAGATATATCTACAGCCGTATGATATTATAGCTACGTTGTGTTCAACCTCGTCAACATCCGCGACAGACATGGAAACCGTAAGCTTTCGGCCGGACAGGTGGGTACTAGCTGATCATGGATACTGTAGAATCTGGCTGCTACATACACTGCGTCGCTTCGGTAAACGAAGGCTGCTGGCACACATCTTTGCATGAGCCTCCTGACGCCTGCAAATCATACTTTCTAACTGTGTGCAAACCTACCCAAGTATAGCCATCTCGAACTGGGTACAATACGGAGGTGTGGTGGCTCCACAGACCTACAGCACTATTTTTTGGCAACACTTGTCTTAGCAATATGCGGAAGGCGGAGGGGCTTTGTGCGCTTGACTCCGCAAGCAGCGATGGCCGCGTCATGCAACGCCTGTCAGAATTGTCTTCGCTGGCATGTGACAGTTAAGACTTCTGGGATCGTAGATGTTGACGTTTTGTCGAAGTGAATACTCATCCGGGTCGTCTAGACGAAGACCTATATTGAGACGACAGGACGGCAGTGTGCAAACGACTGATTTGCTAGGTGCGCCCACATCCAAGCGCTGATGAGTGCTGCTTGTGTCAGTCGCAGTTCTGATCTGCATTCCTCTCCACACATCTAGTCGCAAAGCACTCCGCACGGCCTCAATTAGCTTCGGTTGAAGGGCCGTGGCACCCAGAAGCGAGGCGAGAAGTAGGGGATGCGTCCGCACCTGCCAGCAGTTCTGAAACGCTTTAGTCTTTGCAGCGTCGTAGCGCTGGGATGTCGGGGACACTTCAGACCTGGTTTGCCGGAGTGCCGGGTCTCGCTCGGCTTTATCCCTGGCAGATACATACAGATGTCGGGTACAGTATGTATAGCAAGTGCAGGACAGCGCTACGACTGATACGACCGTGGGGTTCAACTAATTTGTTCTAGGATATTCTAGGATTATGCTAAACACCCCTTTTGATCTCATGCCTCTTCCAAGACAAGTGCTCTGCAGCCCACCCGCATTTGTCATGACTGTCTACTTGTCCTCATGCAGCAACCGGACCCACTGAGCCTCACGGACATACTCCTCCATGCTCACTGCCGTCTCATGCCGCTGCCATTGTCTTAAAGACTTCGCTCAGCACTGGCTCTGCACCGTTATCTTTGCCGCTTTGAAGTGCGCTTCGGGCTGTGCGCATCTTGTAACTTGTAGCTTATATGATGTACTCGTCCATGCACGGACGAAGGGTACTCGATTGCGTCTGCTTTTTCGAATGCGTCGTACATCGCAGAGAACGGTGCGAAAGATAGTCGGGTCCAGGCGAATTGAATTGGATCTACCTACCCAATCTAACTAATCCAGCCTTCGGAAGATGTTACACGGTCTCTTGTTCTGTGTGTTTGGTGAGTTGCAACCTGGTCGCGCAAACAGAATGTTGCAAGCACGCACAGTATCACATGGAAAAGCATCCTGTGCACGCGCTGGCCAAGCAAAACCCCCAGGCATGATCTCATGAGACTGTGTTGTTATGCTGAGTTTGCCGCGGAAGCTTGGCTCCTGCAAGCGACATTATCCACAAATTGTGGTCATGCGGGCTGATACAATGATTTTTCGGAAGGACACTCGCATGCCTCTTCCTGTCCTCCGAAAGAGCTGCCTCGCCGTCTGCGGAGCTCACTGTTTACCTTCGCAGCCATCGGCACAATGCCGCTGTGTGAGCTGCTGACAACTTGCGAATCGCAGTGGAAAGATACTGGAAAAGATCCAGACGTTGAGTTTGATGCTTAACTTAACTTTAACAGCAGCCCAAACTCGAGACAAGCTCCAGTCGAGAAAGTGTTTCGGGAGCTATGCAAGCGCAGTCGGTTGGGAGCACTGAGGACCTCACAATTTCACAGCCGTCGCGCAACCAATGACGAAGCCGGAAACGAACAGTCTCTGGTGGCAGCAGCTGTGCTAAGTTCTCTGGATACCTGGGCACCGCGAGCCACGTTCTTTTCTCATTCCTTGTACATTCGTCTTTTGAGTCGTTTCAGCAGCAATGCCATGGAACATGTCTGAAGCTTTTTGTACACTGTCTTGAGGTGTGGGCAGCAGGAAGTTCTCGACTTCCGGATCCAAGTTCGGTCCATCTTGCGCCTTCTTGGGGCTGAGAAGATTCAGTGCCTCCGTCCGGCGGTGTGGAAGCGCAGGGCCATATGAGTGATGCAGGTTTCTTGCACACGTCCAGAGCTGCCCTGAGACGTTGGCGATCTTTGAGAACAGCCTGCCCAACCTCGCTCCCGCAAACAGCGCACGGTGAGTGTCATTAAAGTCAAAGTCTACAGCAGAACTCGTCGGCCAAGGCTGCCGCTGCGACGAATCTGCCACCGTGCCGGTGAGCGCCTCAGGAGGCCCGTGTCTTGAGAAAGGCCGAGCATTGAAGCAAAGGTGCTTGGACACGTCGGTAGGTCCATCTTTCCGCATCAGGCCAAAGAATCTTCGCCCTGGGATGACGGCGGAACCGGCCACATACGGGTATGGTGACAATGTCGCACGGCTTTGCAGATCCTGATGCGCAGGGCGAAGCATCCGGGTAGAGATGCGACTAACTACGAGCTCGGTGTCAGCCAGATACTATCCAATGCCATCCATCAACGAAGCAGGAGCAGGTCCTGGAAAAGATCTTGGATGTCTTGGTGTGGGCTCCAAGCAGGGAGGTCGTCTGGAGCCTGCACAAGCAACAACCATGGCAAGGGCAAGGACTATGGTTATAGCCGCCACTTCCGTGCATGAACACTCCTTTGAAAGTCTGTATCAAGCTGCTACTTGTCAACACAAGCAAGTGCTGCAAGCGCCTGCGGCTCGCAACAATCGAAGCCGTAATCTCTGGAACACTGCACCCTTCCTCTCCACAGAGCAAGTTTCACAGCGATTCCGAGGCACGGACGTTCGGCAAGGCCGTCAAGGCACGCCCTTGCGTGACTTATGCTTCCGCCGAACTGGCATCTTCTAACTCTGCTTATGAATATAACTTTTGAACAATTATTTGCAAGCTCTCAAGGGCAAGGTATAAAAACGCTAGTTCATGAGAGCACAAACCTGGTATAAGTCCAGATGCACGCTGGTTTGCAGGCTTTTGACCAGGGTAGCATGGACTAGACTGGTCCAGAAGTGTCGACGGAGGCCTTCATCGCAAACAACCACCCTAGGCACAACTTGAAATGCCAAGCCGGGCCAGGCCTAGAAGCGGCCAAACTGTTCGGTCGAAAGACGTGGCTGGATTCACGAGGACGAGGCCTGTGCGACAGAAAGCACAGGAGCTAAGGCTCTGTCAAAGCATGCAGCGCACGGCTTTTGTTTAACAATGTTAGCATGATGAGCCAGGGTCAACTCGTGCAGGGCTTGCGTGCATGGTTCGAAATCAATGTTTCACGTTCAGGGTCCGCCAACGCTAGGAGGCTTGGGAGAATGAAGCTTGCCAGGCTTTGGTTGCTGAAGGGTTCACCTGCATGATCGGCCTGATACTTTGCAAAGTCTGGGCTCAAAGACAGGCTCGTGCGCGCCGCCTTTTTCGATGCCGCTCTGACAGCTTCAAGCCTCGGCAAGCTGAAGATGTAGGCTTGCAGCCTCCCCACATTCATCTGTAATTGCGATATTTTGGTCGCCGGATATTGCCGGTCTCTTGTGAAACAGGCTTCCTGCTGCAGGGATCTGCAGGGCAAACTCTTTGGCAATCTCTCCCTTGAGCATAAGCTCTCTTCGATCCGGCAGTAGAGTGCTGCATGGAAAACTCAGCTCAGGAATGAGAGGTCACGCGTTGGCAAGCTTAACGAAAGCAGGCGCACTCTGAAGTGTCCAACTACGGCTTGACCTGGGCCTCCGCTGCGGCTCCTACTTCCGCTTCAGGCTTTGCTGGAGCCTCACCGACCTCACCCTCAGGAGGGCTCTTGTCGTCCGGAGCCTCAGAGAACACCGGGAGCTGAGGTTCCAGGGCCCAAGAGGTATCCCCCATGAACTTGATGAGAGCGGCCTTAGACGCTTCAGCTTCTCCCTCCTTGGGGTCCTTCCATGCACTGACTCAAACATAAACCATACGCTTTAGTCCCGGATGACAAGTTGTCACTTAGAAGTAAACTTGGTTACCCGAATTCGCCACCCTGCATCTACGAGCTCCTTCGCTTCGGCGGCTCCCTCCTTGGAGTCCTTCCCTGCCAAACCTGACATGCTAACGCAGAGGGAAACTATGTAAATGAAACCCACAAAGACAACAAGATGCGGACGGGCACCTGCTGCAGCCAGAGGCCGTGCGGCTGCCTCTCCAAGCATTACGAACCGCCCGGGGTCGTCCAAAAACGTGCACATCGCAAACTCGGAATAGTGCAGCGTCCCCCACATGCAGCAAGGACCTGTCTGAAGCTCTTGCGGCCCCCAGGAGTAGCCAAGAAGGCTGCAAGGATCCAAACACCAAGCGACGAGAAGTAGAACCTGGCCGCTGACAATCACGTGAGCGAGAAGCCCAAGCCCGGGGACAGGCGGAGTCTGTTTGTGTTGTATGCCTTCCAGCCGTGACTAACCAGCATGTTCTGCACATCTTGCAAACGCCCCGAAACGGCTTCGGAATTTCACAGCAAAGCCTGTTGGACGTGTCGCACACCAAGTCCTGCAGCGTCTTGCAATGACACAGCTGGTCCAAAATCGTGCAATCGTTCACTCGCACTCGCAGTCAATTCTGTGATCTTGGTGAGCCTGCACTCGCGCTCCCCTCCAAGGTATCCGCTAGAGAGGTGTCGAGATGAGCATTTAGTGAGGCCCACCATGGCTAAAAGCATGGGTCCTCAGCTCCGGGTCAAAGAGGGATGCTGTGCTGCAGAAATCCCAGCGATCAACATTCCTCGTCAAAAATCAGAGCACCCGAGCAGTCCTTTGCTGGATGGCCCGTGTCATCGCGCCAGCGCCCATCTTTGCATACCCTGGGCATCTGAGAAGTGGTACACTGCAAATAAGCCCCGTTACACAGAAGTCGAGAACCTCGACGTGTCAAGCCTCACGGGCGCATCTTGGTTGGTTTCAGAAGATTAAGAAGGATTCAGATGAGGGTTGTCGTGAGCCTGCATGAGTACACGACTTGTGCAAAAGCCAAGCTTGTCGATAGCTGGTGCATAACGCTCCGTGGCTATGTGCTGCTCACGATGACACGAAAGCTCGCTGATTTGGGAACTCGTACCTGCAACGGTATGCACGGGACACTTCTTAGAGAAACTGCTTTAGCCCTCGCCGCAATACTGATTGTGACAAATGACATCCCTTCACCCTCGCTTGCCGGCCGGTGACCCTTGAAACACCAAGCTACTGCTTGACAGAATGCATGGTTGCTTAAAGACTATAACAAATACCTTTCGACCCAATTCGGCCAATCACTCCTAGGAAACACAGGCTACAAAGCCGGAGAAGAAGCTGCCGTTGGATGCGAAGCAGTTGTGGTGGTCACAGTAACGACACACTTGTTTGACGCCGCTTCCCGATCTCTTCTGCCCCTCTAAGAACGCCAAACTCACCATACCGCCACCGCCTCCCGCCCCCGACAAACAAAATGAAAGCTGCCCAGGCCACAGAACAACACCCACTGAGAACTACACAGTGTCCTCTTGGGTGTCACCGCTTGATTTTGTTGGTTTGCTGCCAGAAGCTCTGGCTCGCTGTGTCGAGCTCTAAGGTTCCAGATCCGTTCCGTATCAAGGAAGGGCGAGTCATGAGTGGCTCGGATGCGATGAACGAGTGCCAGTTAAGGAACATGATTCGGCACGGGTTCTGTCAACCCATGGGCTCCGAAACGAAAATAATAACTGGGGTCAGCGATTGGCTGACGTACACCCGCGCATTCCTTGTCCTTGGAGGTTTTTGGCCTCCCACGTGGCTAGGACGAACCTACGAATTAGGAAAAGAGATACGAAGACGAACCTCACAAGTAAAGGCCCAAGTGCCTTGCCCACATGCCGGTGAACCATCCTTGCCGAGGTACAAGGTCTCTTGACTCGGCACTTGCCACCAGCGGGCTTCAGGGCACTGGCAGGTGCAGTCTGCCCCGTCCTCGGAAAATGCAAGGAGCAATGACGGTTTCTAGTGTCGACCAGACCCATAAGGTTCATCATGTTGCGGAGCTAGGACTATCAGTTGGTTGCAGGTTGCTGCCGTGAGAAGTGGGTTGCGGATCATGAGGTTTACACCAAAACTTCACGCCTATCATGGCTTAGGCGTTGCCAGCTCTTTCGGAAGGGCCGTGCACCACGAATGCTTCAGCTCAGCCCCTCGACGAACGACAGGAACATTGAACTGACAGCCCCGCTGCGGCTTAGCAGCATGCATCCTCTTCCGTCGAATACCTTTTGCATCTTCGTAGGTCGCCTCATCCTTCAAGTCGGCGTGCTCTTCACAAAGGAACTCCTGCACAGGGGGTCAGAAATCTCTCCAAAGAGCGCCGAGGCCTGAAATTGCGCTAATTCCAAGATGTCTTCTCTGCCCACCTTCGAATTCCACATGGGCACTACACACTCCTTGGCAGCGGCGGAACGAGGCAGGATCGGAGTGACAAACGGCAGAGCAAATGGAGCGACACGGCATCTGGATGCTAGGTCAAGGGGTAAACAAGGTCTTCTCTTCCTGGTGCAGGTCTTAGCTCTACGCTGATCCTACATTGTCCTACATGATCCAGAAAGTTGGTCGTGGTTTGGAAGCCTTGTCCAATCCAAGCATAGCTCAAGGAAAGAATCATGGACCGATATATCACCTCCAAAGACATGTTGTAAATACTGGCACATGGCTCGTTAACACAGCTCTGTCTGTCTAACGACGCTCCAGAGCAAAAAGCCACAGCTTGACAGAGTAATCTCCAAGGGGCGGAGCCCGCACGAGGATCAGAGGGGTTCGCCGGGGCCATGTCGCCTGCGAAGTGCTGGGCCGTGGTAGCGAGCCGCAGTCGGCAATATCAGATGCATCCGGCAAATAGCACACTTCTAAGCACAAAATGCCTGTCAATCTGGCTGCTTTACTGAACAAGCTTCAGGCTTTAACCTGACTAGGGCTGCCCTCCAAATTTGTGCAAATGGTCACTGCTTTTTTCTGAACTGCTCGAGTGATTCTCGTCCATCAAAGCCCCTCAATCCAGCCCATCTTCCTGCTCCTCCGGCGCTGCTGCTTACAACCATGGGCCTCGACGCGTGAATGGGAGCATGGCTGCTTTGAAGGCCCATGGACACCACAGCACCAACTAGTCTGGATTATCGGGACTCTATTTTTGAAGGTCTTCAGCTGATTCGAATGCAGCGCCTGCAGCCCGGCGGCCCTTCAAGCGGGCAGGCAGAGGTGCGAGGGCACTTCAAAAACAATGGTTTGCTTCTTCAATTCCTTCGCGGTACTCAATGTTCGGTTTCGCAGCTATACAGCAAGATGCAACAATGTGCATTTCCCGGCTACAATCACGTCACTACGCGCTGATGTTGTCGCTCGACACCATGGTCTGAGCAGTCGAATCTGAAACTTCGCAGTGCCAGAGTTGCCATTGAAAGGTAGAGCTGTTGATGATGAAGTGCTGCCAAGAATCATTCCGGGCCCAGGGCCCATTCCGGGACCCATGGCGGGGTGGCCGGGATGCATGCTGGGACCCATGCCGGGGCCCATGCCGGGACCCATGCCCGGCCCCATGCCAGGACCCATGGGCGGGCCCATGCCAGGACCCATCCCAGGGAAACCTGCAACATCTCTCGCTGACACCCACGATCCTGGCTTCGACATCGAGTCAGCCTCCGGGCCCCATGGGTGGTTGACCAAAGCCTGGCGGCATACCGAACTGTCCTGTAACAGCGGGCAACGTGCGGCTTTGCGTGCTGCGTTTGCGCTCTGCAACACAATTTCCGTGTCCTGGGCTTCCCAGCTGGCCGGGTGGGCCGAAGCCCGGGGCTCCAAATCCTCAGCTCTACTTCAATGAGCGGCTTTCTGCCGCGCGTAGTCTCCGAATCTCTGCAATCAAGCAGCCTCCGCCCAAAGAGCCCTCGGCTACTCCATGAATCCGAGCACAACGGCACGTGTGAAGGCACGAAGATGTGTGCACATGTAGGGTTGTCTTCACTTCTCCTCTTGAGTTATATTTACCGTGCATGTTGCCGGCCTCGGAATGCATCAGCAAATGGCAGGAATCGGGACAGTCTTCCTTTCCAGTGTTCGCCGCGGCACAAATGGATCACCTGGGTGGCTGCCCCAAGGCTGCGACATCGTCCTTGGCATCTGTATGTCTCTGCGTCTAGCTACCCATCTATGCGCACAAATTCTCTGCAATTGGCAAATGCGAAAGATAGTCAATTAGCCAGACTTGCATTTCCAACAATGCATATCACCATCACCATGCCCATTTGTGCCTTCCTTGCTTCCTTCCAACATCGTGTGGGGGTGGGCTGGCTCCCGTAATGTCTTACTCCTCTGTCCGTGTTTATGCGTTTTTGAGCTTGTGTGTGCACGCTTGCGTGAGTGTACGTGCAAGAGCGTGGTGGTGCACAACGGGAAATCATGCAAAGTAGACCGGTCGCTTCGCAAGCATGAAGGGTACCTGATTTGAACCTCGCTCCTAGCTCTGGGTCAGCTCGGGCAGGTCAGTGAAAACTGCTTTGGGCTTGGCTTGGCAGAGCTAAAAGCGCCCTGTCGGTTTCTGTGATACCAGTGCAGCGACAGCACTCGTTCCAAATCCTTGGTTTAAGAATGCCTCAGCAACTGAGCCAGTCGGGATCCCTCGGGCAGCCGTGCGAAAAAAAAAAAGCAAATTGGAAAAAGAAATCCAGGGTACTCTGATCTCGGCGCGCCAATTTCTTTCTTGTTTTGCTTGTCTACTTCGCTTCGGAAAGACACCGAATCAGGAAACCGAGGGCCTGAAAACAAGCTCTATAGGCCCCCCCCCAAAGCTGTGGTCAATCGCATGAGCTGAGTCACAAAAAACCGCAGGTTCAACGCCTGCAAGTGCCGTGCAGTTTTAAACCTTCTGGCTGGCTGATTTTGCAGCCCATTCGAATCAAGAAACTTGGATTAATGAAGGCCTGCAGGGCATCCTCAAGTCGTGATGCTATTGTTGATGACAAAACGTGCACTTCAAAATTAAGAAACCCAGGGTACCCTCCCCAAAATACACCTGTTTCTCAACCGGCGCTGTCGCTGTACTCTGTTTCTCGTTTCGTTGCTTCAAGAGCCTGAAGCTGCGGCAGGTGTGCTAAGAACCTTGGCGCAGTTTACCGACGCTTGGACTAGCACCCATATAGATGGATGGACTGATACTCAGATACCGAGATGAATATGATTGAAATTCGAACATGAATGTTACTGGACGTGGTTCTGTATTGCGGCAAGAAGCATTTCATCGCCGGTGCCTGCCGCCGGCTCGCTTCTCCTCAGCGAGGTCAGCGAAGGCAGATGAAACGGAAGTCCGGCAGCTGCCAATCAGATCTGGAGGGCTGTGCACGCGCTTGCTGAGGCAATTTCTAGTCCAATCCTGGCCAACCCCAAAAGTCAGCACGCCGTACACATACCAAACCACTTTGAGTTGACTGGCACTACGCTCAAGAAGGGAATCGCTGAGAACCTGCAACAATTGCCGACGAGGCACAGGAGTGCCGTGTGCGACTTTGCCGAATGTCCTGAGCTACATCATACTCGACCATGGCCGACCCGGAGTCGGACATCAAAAGCTGTGATTGTCCCGGCAGGTCCTGTCTCCTCATGTAGCGCGAAGATGTTTGTCGGTATGAGCAAAAGCACATGGAAGACAAACCTTGCGCACGCAGAGCTCGGACTCCAGTGCAAGCAACATCACGCTGCTTGTCCGGCATTGCTGTGCTCAGGGGGCGACATCAAGTTCCAGGAAGGCCTTCTTGCTCGAGAATACCTGATGCCGGAGGTGCAAAAGCTAAGTGCGTGCGGCGCACCCATCGGAAAATTGGGGAAAGGTAGAACGGCTGAGCACAAGCAGCGTGGAGCAATTAATCTTGTCGTGGAGTCATCTCAAAATCGCAGTTTTGGAATCAGGTCTTTTGCCACGGCACGGAAGGAGTTCTCAGTCGTGGGAATTATTTGGCCAAGTCATGGACCGCTTGAGCCGACATGGCACTGCCAAGCTGTACACGTTCCTGTGTTCTCGTCCCATGGACAGGTGATTGCATAGCGGCTGTTGCGTGGGAGTCCAACACCGTGTCAAAGCATGCCTCTGCCGGACAGAACTTGCAGGCTCTCTCATCTCTCTCCGCCATTCTCTCTGGGGCCTTTCAAAGCTTCACCGCCCATCCGCAGTGCGACGGCCAGGGCGAGCAGACCGCCGAAGGACTCACCAAAGAGTACCACCTCCGGCCAGTTCACTTGTTCCTACCGAACTTTCAGATTCTAAAGGGCTTTGAGCACGACGCCTGCCGTCCTGACTCTTTCTGGCTTCGCACCCAAGCCTCCACCAAGAGCATTGATGCCACCACAATCATCATTCAAGAGGGCTTGCGTGGCGACGGCTAAGCTCTTTAAGAAGACATGCGTGCGCACGTCTCAGAGGGCCTCCAAACGATCAACCATCTCGACGAATGGCCTCAGCACAGGAAAGGCTTCAGGACAGCTCTGCGTCTTCAGCGGGCACGGGCAATTACACAAACCATATCATGTAGGAGCAAACACACGGAACGAAGAGTAAGTTAGATGCATATAATTTCATCGAGGTCCAGTAAGCTGGCGACGTTCGGTTGTCGGCAGCCACCCAACAGCGCCACAACCTCAAGCAGCACGAAAAGGACCGCCTTTCCAAGGAAGCGGATTGCTGAGGACCAAGGATCATGCTCGTGGCCCGCTTCAGCAAGAGGCCGAAACTGAGGAGCCTCGGGGCTCACTCTCCACGAGTCCTGAATCCTGTGCAGGACTACAAAATTATGGCTCTGGCCGCAAACCCGCCGGAGAAGTCGATGCCAGGCACGTAAAGCCTCTGTGGGCGGCGCAGTGCTGAAGAGCTCTTGCTATGAGCTCTACATGGCGGCATGGTCGACGACCGGGGCTGTGACACGATGTCCTGGCTCTGGCCGGATGGCTTGTCCTCAAACACTGCTCTCTCTTAAACCAGCTTTATCATGAGCCTCATCGGAGACCGTGCGGGTTGACCCCGAGATGCGTGCCCTTGTGACGCGCTCGAAGTACACCGGGCCCTGGACAGAGTAGGGATAACAAGCCTTCGAGCCTTCTACTGATCTACTGCGAACTAACACCAACACAAAAACCAAGGAACTGCTGCAGCCACCTGTAAGGAGTAGATCGCAGTTTTGTGGCGACTGGCATGATATGTTCAAGCCTGGATGCTGCACGCTGCACACTCAGCAAGAGCAGTGGATCGAAGCACCTGGAGTAAACACAACTCCCCGCCTTCACCCCTGAAGCCCCCTAGATCCACAATGCTGAATCCCGAATCCGCATCCCCCCCTCCCGCTCAAGCTGATGCCTGCTTCTCGCCTGGCTCATTCAGCGAGCCGAGGATCCTCCCCGCACTTCCGCACAGGGCTCTCTCTCTCCTTTTGTGTTTGGTTTCGTCTTGTAGGGGTACATGGGGTACCGGGGATACACTCGCACTGTCCTTGCATCTGCTTGCTATCAGTTGCTACGGAACAACATCCAGGCTGCAGCACCTCTGAAACCGACAAAGCCGAGGACTTGATCAAAGATTTTCCTCTCTAGCGAAATGCTACCTCTGCTGGCTCACTGCCGGAACCGATGCCTGCATTTCCAGAGCAAAGAAAACCGGCTGAGGGCAGCTCTCTGCGAAAAGCTCTGGTTCGGTGAAGACCGATCCTGATCCGGCTTGCAAGTATCCACCAAAGGCACGGAAGTGAGCCCAGCTTGCTGAAAATAGCATGTCGAAGCAAGCGCGGCCTTCTCGAT